CCTCGTCCATCCCCGGCAGCAGCAGCAGCACTCAAGCTGATTCAAGCTTCAATCTCTCACTCACTCACCAATCCAGCTTCAGTGGCGTCTGATCATCATCCACCACGTCAACCACCTTCACGCTCTCAAGCCCCTCCCTGCTGCCCTCTGCGCCGTTCTCCTCGTCCATCCCCGGCAGCAGCAGCAGCAGCACTCAAGCTGATTCAAGCTTCAATCTCTCACTCACTCACCAATCCAGCTTCAGTGGCGTCTGATCGTCATCCACCACATCAACCACCTTCACGCTCTCAAGCCCCTCCCTGCTGCCCTCTGCGCCGTTCTCCTCGTCCATCCCCGGCAGCAGCAGCAGCACTCAAGCTGATTCAAGCTTCAATCTCTCACTCACTCACCAATCCAGCTTCAGTGGCGTCTGATCGTCATCCACCACATCAACCACCTTCACGCTCTCAAGCCCCTCCCTGCTGCCCTCTGCACTGTTCTCCTCGTCCATCCCCGGCAGCAGCAGCAGCACTCAAGCTGATTCAAGCTTCAATCTCTCACTCACTCACCAATCCAGCTTCAGTGGCGTCTGATCGTCATCCACCACATCAACCACCTTCTCGCTCTCAAGCCCCTCCCTGCTGCCCTCTGCGCTGTTCTCCTCGTCCATCCCCGGCAGCAGCAGCAGCACTCAAGCTGATTCAAGCTTCAATCTCTCACTCACTCACCAATCCAGCTTCAGTGGCGTCTGATCGTCATCCACCACATCAACCACCTTCACGCTCTCAAGCCCCTCCCTGCTGCCCTCTGCGCCGTTCTCCTCGTCCATCCCCGGCAGCAGCAGCAGCACTCAAGCTGATTCAAGCTTCAATCTCTCATTCACTCACCAATCCAGCTTCAGTGGCGTCTGATCGTCATCCACCACATCAACCACCTTCACGCTCTCAAGCCCCTCCCTGCTGCCCTCTGCGCCGTTCTCCTCGTCCATCCCCGGCAGCAGCAGCAGCACTCAAGCTGATTCAAGCTTCAATCTCTCACTCACTCACCAATCCAGCTTCAGTGGCGTCTGATCGTCATCCACCACATCAACCACCTTCACGCTCTCAAGCCCCTCCCTGCTGCCCTCTGCGCCGTTCTCCTCGTCCATCCCCGGCAGCAGCAGCAGCACTCAAGCTGATTCAAGCTTCAATCTCTCACTCACTCACCAATCCAGCTTCAGTGGCGTCTGATCGTCATCCACCACATCAACCACCTTCACGCTCTCAAGCCCCTCCCTGCTGCCCTCTGCGCCGTTCTCCTCGTCCATCCCCGGCAGCAGCAGCAGCACTCAAGCTGATTCAAGCTTCAATCTCTCACTCACTCACCAATCCAGCTTCAGTGGCGTCTGATCGTCATCCACCACATCAACCACCTTCACGCTCTCAAGCCCCTCCCTGCTGCCCTCTGCGCCGTTCTCCTCGTCCATCCCCGGCAGCAGCAGCAGCACTCAAGCTGATTCAAGCTTCAATCTCTCACTCACTCACCAATCCAGCTTCAGTGGCGTCTGATCATCATCCACCACGTCAACCACCTTCACGCTCTCAAGCCCCTCCCTGCTGCCCTCTGCGCCGTTCTCCTCGTCCATCCCCGGCAGCAGCAGCAGCACTCAAGCTCATTCAAGCTTCAATCTCTCACTCACTCACCAATCCAGCTTCAGTGGCGTCTGATCGTCATCCACCACATCAACCACCTTCACGCTCTCAAGCCCCTCCCTGCTGCCCTCTGCGCCGTTCTCCTCGTCCATCCCCGGCAGCAGCAGCAGCACTCAAGCTGATTCAAGCTTCAATCTCTCACTCACTCACCAATCCAGCTTCAGTGGCGTCTGATCGTCATCCACCACATCAACCACCTTCACGCTCTCAAGCCCCTCCCTGCTGCCCTCTGCGCCGTTCTCCTCGTCCATCCCCGGCAGCAGCAGCAGCACTCAAGCTGATTCAAGCTTCAATCTCTCACTCACTCACCAATCCAGCTTCAGTGGCGTCTGATCGTCATCCACCACATCAACCACCTTCACGCTCTCAAGCCCCTCCCTGCTGCCCTCTGCGCCGTTCTCCTCGTCCATCCCCGGCAGCAGCAGCAGCACTCAAGCTCATTCAAGCTTCAATCTCTCACTCACTCACCAATCCAGCTTCAGTGGCGTCTGATCGTCATCCACCACATCAACCACCTTCACGCTCTCAAGCCCCTCCCTGCTGCCCTCTGCGCCGTTCTCCTCGTCCATCCCCGGCAGCAGCAGCAGCACTCAAGCTCATTCAAGCTTCAATCTCTCACTCACTCACCAATCCAGCTTCAGTGGCGTCTGATAGTCATCCACCACATCAACCACCTTCACGCTCTCAAGCCCCTCCCTGCTGCCCTCTGCGCCGTTCTCCTCGTCCATCCCCGGCAGCAGCAGCAGCACTCAAGCTGATTCAAGCTTCAATCTCTCACTCACTCACCAATCCAGCTTCAGTGGCGTCTGATCGTCATCCACCACATCAACCACCTTCACGCTCTCAAGCCCCTCCCTGCTGCCCTCTGCGCCGTTCTCCTCGTCCATCCCCGGCAGCAGCAGCAGCACTCAAGCTGATTCAAGCTTCAATCTCTCACTCACTCACCAATCCAGCTTCAGTGGCGTCTGATCGTCATCCACCACATCAACCACCTTCACGCTCTCAAGCCCCTCCCTGCTGCCCTCTGCGCCGTTCTCCTCGTCCATCCCCGGCAGCAGCAGCAGCACTCAAGCTGATTCAAGCTTCAATCTCTCACTCACTCACCAATCCAGCTTCAGTGGCGTCTGATCGTCATCCACCACATCAACCACCTTCACGCTCTCAAGCCCCTCCCTGCTGCCCTCTGCGCCGTTCTCCTCGTCCATCCCCGGCAGCAGCAGCAGCACTCAAGCTGATTCAAGCTTCAATCTCTCACTCACTCACCAATCCAGCTTCAGTGGCGTCTGATCATCATCCACCACGTCAACCACCTTCACGCTCTCAAGCCCCTCCCTGCTGCCCTCTGCGCCGTTCTCCTCGTCCATCCCCGGCAGCAGCAGCAGCACTCAAGCTGATTCAAGCTTCAATCTCTCACTCACTCACCAATCCAGCTTCAGTGGCGTCTGATCGTCATCCACCACATCAACCACCTTCACGCTCTCAAGCCCCTCCCTGCTGCCCTCTGCGCCGTTCTCCTCGTCCATCCCCGGCAGCAGCAGCAGCACTCAAGCTGATTCAAGCTTCAATCTCTCACTCACTCACCAATCCAGCTTCAGTGGCGTCTGATCGTCATCCACCACATCAACCACCTTCACGCTCTCAAGCCCCTCCCTGCTGCCCTCTGCGCCGTTCTCCTCGTCCATCCCCGGCAGCAGCAGCAGCACTCAAGCTGATTCAAGCTTCAATCTCTCACTCACTCACCAATCCAGCTTCAGTGGCGTCTGATCGTCATCCATCACATCAACCACCTTCACGCTCTCAAGCCCCTCCCTGCTGCCCTCTGCGCCGTTCTCCTCGTCCATCCCCGGCAGCAGCAGCAGCACTCAAGCTGATTCAAGCTTCAATCTCTCACTCACTCACCAATCCAGCTTCAGTGGCGTCTGATCGTCATCCACCACATCAACCACCTTCACGCTCTCAAGCCCCTCCCTGCTGCCCTCTGCGCCGTTCTCCTCGTCCATCCCCGGCAGCAGCAGCAGCACTCAAGCTGATTCAAGCTTCAATCTCTCACTCACTCACCAATCCAGCTTCAGTGGCGTCTGATCATCATCCACCACGTCAACCACCTTCACGCTCTCAAGCCCCTCCCTGCTGCCCTCTGCGCCGTTCTCCTCGTCCATCCCCGGCAGCAGCAGCAGCACTCAAGCTGATTCAAGCTTCAATCTCTCACTCACTCACCAATCCAGCTTCAGGGGCGTCTGATCGTCATCCACCACATCAACCACCTTCACGCTCTCAAGCCCCTCCCTGCTGCCTTCTGCGCCGTTCTCCTCGTCCATCCCCGGCAGCAGCAGCAGCACTCAAGCTGATTCAAGCTTCAATCTCTCACTCACTCACCAATCCAGCTTCAGGGGCGTCTGATAGTCATCCACCACATCAACCACCTTCACGCTCTCAAGCCCCTCCCTGCTGCCCTCTGCGCCGTTCTCCTCGTCCATCCCCGGCAGCAGCAGCAGCACTCAAGCTGATTCAAGCTTCAATCTCTCACTCACTCACCAATCCAGCTTCAGTGGCGTCTGATCGTCATCCACCACATCAACCACCTTCACGCTCTCAAGCCCCTCCCTGCTGCCCTCTGCGCCGTTCTCCTCGTCCATCCCCGGCAGCAGCAGCAGCACTCAAGCTGATTCAAGCTTCAATCTCTCACTCACTCACCAATCCAGCTTCAGTGGCGTCTGATCGTCATCCACCACATCAACCACCTTCACGCTCTCAAGCCCCTCCCTGCTGCCCTCTGCGCCGTTCTCCTCGTCCATCCCCGGCAGCAGCAGCAGCACTCAAGCTGATTCAAGCTTCAATCTCTCACTCACTCACCAATCCAGCTTCAGTGGCGTCTGATCGTCATCCACCACATCAACCACCTTCACGCTCTCAAGCCCCTCCCTGCTGCCCTCTGCGCCGTTCTCCTCGTCCATCCCCGGCAGCAGCAGCAGCACTCAAGCTGATTCAAGCTTCAATCTCTCACTCACTCACCAATCCAGCTTCAGTGGCGTCTGATCGTCATCCACCACATCAACCACCTTCACGCTCTCAAGCCCCTCCCTGCTGCCCTCTGCGCCGTTCTCCTCGTCCATCCCCGGCAGCAGCAGCAGCACTCAAGCTGATTCAAGCTTCAATCTCTCACTCACTCACCAATCCAGCTTCAGTGGCGTCTGATCGTCATCCACCACATCAACCACCTTCACGCTCTCAAGCCCCTCCCTGCTGCCCTTTGCGCCGTTCTCCTCGTCCATCCCCGGCAGCAGCAGCAGCACTCAAGCTGATTCAAGCTTCAATCTCTCACTCACTCACCAATCCAGCTTCAGTGGCGTCTGATCGTCATCCACCACATCAACCACCTTCACGCTCTCTAGCCCCTCCCCGCTGCCCTCGGCGCCGTTCTCCTCCTCCATCCCCGGCAGCAGCTGCATGGTCGCGTTCGCCCGCACTACCACCTCCCCCAGTCGCACCCGCAGCGCCCTCAGCCGCCCCACCAGCTGACCCACCGCCTCGGAACTTGAGGGAAGGATGAGTTGGGACGGGGGTGGGGGGAAGGGGTGGGGAGAAGGGGTGGGGGGAAGGGGTGGGGGGAAGGGGTGGAGGAAGTAGAGGTTGGGAGGGGAAACGGGAAAAGGTGAAGGGGAAGAGAGGGGAATGAAGGGGAAGAGAGGGGAATGAAGGGGAAGAGAGGGGAATGAAGGGGACGAGCCGGGAATGAAGGGGATGAAGGGGAAGAGAGACGGAAAAGTAAGAGGGCTGGCTCCGCTACATGAGCCCAGTTCTTGAATTGAGGTTTAAGAGGCGCCTTCTTTTAGGAGCCTTATTTGAACCGCACTTTCTTAGGCGCCTCGAATAGGGCTAGGTTTGAAGCGGTTCACCTTAACACGCTGTTGGCCGTTGATGCCACGTCATCCACCAATCTCCGGCGCGCGGAACTCTCCCAGGTAGCGTAATCCGTCCGCGAGAGCACTCGTGACGTCATCGGCAAATTGTCGCTCGTTTCTGGAAGATATTCTGCTAAAGAATAAGCTTCTAACGCGGATGGTCTGGACGAGCCAGCGACGGCGCTGGAAACGAGCAGAGCGAGAAGGAGAGCAGACCCCAAAGGCGATGTGAGGAAAGACGTGTTTTTCCAAAGATTTGAGCTCCGCGAAGCAATGCTTCGTAGCGTTTTTCCAGCAAAACTACGTTCCGCAGCGGAACTCCAAGCATCGGGACAGCTTCCGTGACTTCCCATTCCGAATCTATCGGTACTAGCGCTCCGGGTTTTATCCAAGTGTAAGGTTCTTCCTTTTAACCTCATCGCAACAAGTGCTTAATAGAATGCTAGCGTCAGTTTTTGCTGCGATACAGCTCCTGTCATTCTAAACCCGCGACGCGCATTCATTAATGACGAAGCGGACGACGATCCTGACGCACTGGAACCAGTTCAGCTAGTAAGGGGAAAACAAAAAACTTTTACAGCGTCAGACAGTCCTCACGATGGCGCACAACGAATTAGGTTTAGCTGGTTCTAGGCAGACGGTTACCGGCATACACATTTAGTTTCATCCTTCTGATCAAACTAGTGATGAACATCAGCCTTGGGAATGCCGGCGATTACCTCGAGATCGCCTGTGAAACTTGGTTGGTGAGAGGGAGGTAGCATCCGCGATAAGCGCACTCTGACGCGTTTGGTGAAGAAGCTGAAAGCTACACTCGACGAAGCAATGTCCTAGTTTGTTCATTGCTCATTAAAAGGGGTGCCTTTGCGGGAAATACCGATAAGTTCAGGAGAAAAGTACGGTGTAGCAAGATACTGCGGCTTTCCTATAATATACATTGCGGTTCATGTATGTTCTTATGGTCATTCAGATTCCAGAACCATCCAAAAATCCGCTCTCACCTCATCTCAACTCCAGCCTTTTTTGCGGAACTCCATTATTCCAGAAACTTTTGCAGAACCAAGCAAGTCACTTCCCTTGCTCGCTGGTAGTTCTGGCTGACATGACTGCTCGGCGTTAGCACCGACAAATCAGATTTCACGGGTCCAAGCGCGCGACGCATAACAGATTCTGAAACTCGAGCAACGATCAACGTCCCGCCACCAGCAGCAGCAGGCTAATTCTCGAATCAGCGCGCTTTATCACTCTCGCCGTCCTTCTCGGCTTTCCATCCCTTCCTTCCTCTGGCCGAATTGTCCTAATTCAATCTTATTGTCGCGAATGGCATCGTGATATTACTGCAAGACGGAAACGCCATAGCAATTTTCTGCAAAGTGGGATTCAACCGGCCGGCAAATACGAAACGCGAACGTTTCGTAACCGCAGCAGGTGGATATGGCGTCTCCGAGCGATGCAGCTTATAAGGAGGATGGATTCTTCGCTCAGAGGCGAACCGTGCTCGCATTCCTCGATTTCCTCCGCACAGGTACTGCTAGTGATTACGTGAGACGACTCAACAGTCAGTCCCTCCGCGCAAGTACTAGTGGTAACAGCTTGAAGCACGTCTCAGGCTTTGCTGCGTCCTCTTTTAAGACGTCTCAGTCCTTGTCTTCCTCACTTCTCTCCGCACTGGTAGGAAAAGCGTGAAGCTGCTTCCATCCTCGCTTATGCGAACTACAGGGCTGCAATGGTTATCCTGATGTGTTTTCGCACAGGGGAAATTTGAACCGGTCACCCTTGTTTCCTACATCCGTTTCCTCTCTCGCTTTTTGCCCCATCAACCCCCACCCCCCCCTCACTCGACGCAAGACGCCCCAGAGGTTTCCACCGCCACCACCCGCTAATCCCCCTTCTCTCCGATTCCACTCTCCGTTTCCTCTTTCCGTTTTCCCCCTTGTATCATCAGCCCCACTCCCTCCCTCAGTTGACTCAGACGCCCTAGCAATTGCCGCTGGCAGAAATTTGTGACTATGATGTTCCATAATCATTCCTCCGCCCATCTGATTCCCCTCTTTTCGTTCCCTCCCGTCCTTTTTCTCCCCCCCTGCCCTATCAGCCCCACTCCCTTCCTCAGTTGACTCAGACGCCCTAGAGGTTGCTGCAGACTGCCTTTCCGAAGCTTTTGGGGTCAGCCCGCAAAACCCGGACGACCTGGAAAAATATTCAGTCCTGCCCGGAACACTGTTGCAGCTTATTCAGGACAGCACACCGGGCACTGTTACTGGTCATGCTTCTTCAACCGGTGCTGCCCGGCCAGGCGGGCAGCTAGTGGAAAATTCTCAGGCTGCTGCCCTCCTGCCCGAACCTATGGATGTAGGGGTCAAGGGTGGCGCCGAGCCTCGGGAAGCAGACTTGGGAGACAGGGTTGGGGGAGGTTCCGTTGCCGCAGGAACAGAAAACGCTAGGATAGGCAACGGGGCCAGCGGAGGCAGAGAGGGGGGGAAGGAAGTAGAGATGAAAGACGCAGATGAGGGGGCTGCTGAGCAAACGGGGGAACAAGCGAAAGAAAGAGCAGGGGAAACGGCTCGTGGGGAAGCTGGGGCAGGTGTGAGTGGGGCGAACCGGCAAGGGGAGGAGGGTCAGGTGGAGGGCCAGGGTGCTTTGGATCTGGAGAAGAAGCTTCAGGAGTTTCTGCAGGGGTTGGAGAGTGCGGGGTACTATGCAGGGACGGTGGTGGGTAGTGAGGATTATGTGGTGAGGCAGCAGCAGGCACGAGCTATCTTCCACCAGTGTGTGGCACAGCAGGGAGGACGGAGAGAGGGGGGGGACAAGGAGCAAGGGGAAGGGGGCAGTGAGCAAGGGAAGACGGAGGGAGGGGAGAAGGAGGGGAACGAGAAGGAGCGGGAGGACGGCAGCAAGAGCAGCGAGGGCAGCAAGGGTCAAAGGGACGACAAGGGGAAGGAGAAGGAGACGGAGGGGGGAGATGCTTCAGCTGCTACTGCTGCTACGACTGCTAGTGTTGCTGCTACAGCCGCTGATGCTGCTGGTCCTTCCGCCAGTGGTGGTGCTGCTAGTGGTGGTGCGGCTGTTGCTGCTGCGGAGACTGCAGGGGGTGGGGGTGCGGCAGCAGCAGTGGTCACAGAAGAGGATAAGAAGAAAGCGGAGGAGCTGAAGGCGCAGGGTGGGTGGTGGTGTGGTGTGGTGTGGTGTGGTGTGGTGTGGTGTGGTGTGGTGTGGTGTGGTGTGGTGTGGTGTGGTGTGGTGTGGTATGATGTGGTGTGATGTGGGGTGTGATCTCCAAATTACATATTTCCGAAAATGATTCTGAATTGACGTTGAGTCGCCTCAGGACTATGGGATGCCTCGACTCTAGCTCTCCCTTGGCTCACCCACTCACTGCACATCGCCCTCATCCCCATCCTGCCCTGCAGGCAATGCGGCCATGGCAGCCCATGAGTATGAGGAGGCGCTATCACTCTACTCCAAAGCGATCGCTCTCTGTGGTGGCACCAACGCCATTTACTATGCCAACAGGTGCTCTCCCTTCCCAAACAACAGTCTGTTGAAGTCATTCTTTTGTAAGGTGTTTTTTCGCCAGCTGTTTGCCACCTGCTTGGTTGTTTCGGAAGCATGGCATTTATTTCATTGCTGGCCATTTTTCTTTAGGTTATAGAGTGTATATATTTACTTATATATATGTATATATATATGTATATATATGTATATATATGTATATATATGTATATATATGTATATATATGTATATATCTGTGTATGTGCATGACATTTCCAAGACATTTTTTCTTCGCCGGTTTGCACTAATCTTGAACACCAGGGCCGCGGCACAGCACCAGTTGGGAAACTACATGGAAGCTGCAGCGGACAGCAGGAGGGCGGTGGCGGTAGACCCGAGGTACAGCAAGGCGTACAGCCGGCTGGGGCATGCGTTCATGGCACTGGGTCGGCACCACGAGGCGATTGAAGAGGGCTTCAAGAAAGGTGTGTTTGTTGGTGTAGACTGGAAGTGGGGCTTTAAGAAAGGTGTGTCCGTTGGAGACTATTTCATTCCATTTGCTTGTTTCTGCTCTTTTGTGACTCACATATCCAGATTCGTTTGTTTACATTTCAAATTCTTCTCCTCCCCTTCCCCTTTCCGCCCCCCCCTGACCGCATCGCAGCTTTAGAGCTAGATCCTTCCAATGCAGCGCACAAGGAGAATCTAAAGGTGAGCTCAGCGATCCAGCTTTTGAGATTATCCTTCTGCTGACTGACAACCGAGGCCCCTTAGAAATTTGCAGCGCGTTCCTTCCAATGCACAAGGCTCCTTCCGCCATTTCTCATGGAGTTTGTTTCGTTGTCCTAAAACAACACGAGTTGATGGAAGTAAGGCCTCCGCAGCCCACCTGTCCTCTTTTGACAGCTCCTGCAGCGCGTTCCTTCCAATGCAGCGCACAAGGAGAAGCTAAAGGTGAGCTCAGCTCAGCAATCCGGCTATGGTGATTCTTTGGGAATTCTCCTTGCGCTTACAATTTTTAGGCCCCTCAGAAATCTGCAGCACGACTCTTCCAATGCAACTCACAAGGAGAACCTCAAAGTGAGCCGCACCGTGACAAAAAATCTCAACTGCATTGCACAGTTAGGCTTAATTGTCAGCCAGCCAGCCTGCAATTCTCAACCGTTGGATTCATTATCTTGTCTCCGATTTTCTGAATCACTCTCTCACCCTCGCCCCCTTTTGATTCGCCACCTCCTCCGCCCGCCCTTCTCCCCATCTTGCTGCCATTCATGTTTCGTGCTGCTGTTGCCCTTCCACAACCTTGATGCCATTTCAGGCAGCCAAGAGGAGGCTTCTTCATCCGTCTTTTTTCCTGCATCTTCCTCTACGTCTCTGCGATTGCAGGCAGCCAAGCGAAAGCTTGATGAGCAGAGGAGAGGCGCGTGCTGCTCCCTTCATGTATGTCTGCTCACACGTACCTTCATCCTCCGTTCACAGTCCTTTCACTTTCCTTAAGATTCTCCTTTCAATCGGCCTTTCATCATCATCACCAATGTCAGCATCATCGTCACCAGAAGCACCGCTTCAGGAGCATCATCACCAGCAGCACCACAGCACGAGCATCATCGCCACCATCCCACCCGCCACAGCAAGTGCAGCACCAGCACAAGCAGCAAATATGAAATGCCTGATTTGTCCTTATTCTCCAACCCCCTGTCTGCGTCCTCCCCGATTTCCCCTCCAAACCCATCTCTATCCCCACGGGACCCCCACCATCATCACCAGCACGAGCAACATCAGCATCACCACCACCCCCACCCGCCACACCACCACCATCCAACCCCTCCTCCATTTGCCTTCCCCGGTGGGATGCAATTCGGGGGTTTCCCCATGCCTGGCATGGGTATACCTGGTATGGGGGTGCCTGGTATGGGTATGCCTGGAATGGGTATGCCTGGTATGGGTATGCCTGGTGCGGGTATGCCTGGTGCGGGTATGCCTGCCGGGGCTGGTTGGGGTGGTTCGTCAGGCCCCCATTCCTTCACCCCCGACCAAGCATCCGGCCAAGCAACATACAATATTTCGCTTGACAATCTCCCGATTGATCCAAGCAACATATCGGGTGTGTTGGGTGCAATTCAGAATTTGGTTGGGGGATTGAATGTTGTACCGCAACAGCAGCAGCAGCCGCAGCAGCAGCAGCACCAGCCACCGCATGCCTAGTGTGTGTTGTCTGACCATTGAACTTTGACCGGTTGTTGACAATTCTGGCTGTTTGTCGCTGGAGATGAAACGAAATATATGCTCAAATAAAAAGAATGCCCCCTAAAGACGAGCATAAGCATGTCCACCTTGACATGTATTCTGTGCAATGATGGTACGGTATATCATTTTGTTGGATTATTGGAACAATTCTATTGAGCAAGTCCTATTTTGCAACACTGCAGTAATCCCTTCATGTTCTGCTGCCATGTCGTTTCTTCCCATTCTTCTGGTGCACCAGAAGAATAATCCTCGCAAAGCTGCGAGGGGGTGATGAATAAGGTTGTGGAGCGGTTAAAAGCAGTTTTGGACGAACATCTACGTAAAAAGCGCGTGCTGGGTTTATCTTATTGTGTAGAGTTTTGGAGAGTTTGTCGGCTTGCCTGGGAAACTGTTTTGCCGCAGAAAGACAGCTCCCTGCGCCCAAGTTCTTCCGGTTTCCTGGGACCATACGCTACAGTACTGTACCTGGATTGGCTAATTTGACGAGCGGCCCACAACCAGCTGACTTTGATGCAACACTTTGTTTGTGTCTGGCTGGGGAGATCTTGACTACGTACGTATATCCCCCCCAAAAACCACAACCACCAAACGAAAGCGCCATGGTGCTTCAGTTCTTTTGACTGAACACCTCTGCAGGAGGGCTGTCACAACATTGAACCTGACAGCCGACACGAGCCTGGACCGAACACGCTTGTTTCCGCTACTTAGGGCGCGTGTGATTTTTTTTGGGGTTCGTATTTAAGGTCGAACTTTAGGTGGTAACCAGTTTCGCCAATGTTCGCAGGAGATTTCGCCAATGGTGACTACAATTTCAAGAGTACCAGGTGCAAACATACAAATGTGAACAAGATTCGAATATATGCACAAACTTTGTGTAGCACACTGAACCGAACGTGTGTGGTTTCAGGCACGTACGAGGAACCAGCGAAGCTCGCGACTCTTTCGCGCTGTCAATAGAAGAGCACCGGGTAACCTACGCACCCTATAGGTGGCTCGGTCCCCCCCCTGTAAGCTCGAACCTGCAAATTCGCACTTTCGTGTGTGATTGTGAATCTGCAAGCAAGTTCACCTGCGGTTCGAACATTGCCAATACTCAAAGTCGAGTCATGTTCAAATGCTTAAATCGAGTCAAAAACATAAACTTATGGCAAAATCAAAAATCACACGCGCCCTTAGCGTTGTGAGCTCCAGAACTTGCCCACACTCTTAGGTTTTGTGAACAAAACGATCGCGAAAGTGAACGAGACCTACCTGTCACAGATTTCCACGCTCTGCTCAGATTCTGCTCTGCTCACTTATCTGCACATGAAGTTGTGCACGACAAAAATCAAAGTCTGTAGTTCTAAGAACCAATGGCCGCGTAGAGCTTTGTCCTCCCCCCCCCCTCCCCCCCTCCCCCCCCCCCCCCTCCTCTCCCCCCTCCCTCTCCTCCCCTCACCCCAACAAGCGCTACTTGTCAGCAATTTACCCTGCCCTTACTGAAAGTCACTGATAATCACTTGAGCAATCCGGATTGTCTTAGCACAGCTGATTGCATTTGCCCTGCCCGTCACCCTTCGACGAGAAGGGGTGCGGGCAGAACAGCTCAAATCATCTGAAGCCGATATTGTCTCCACACTCGAAGAAGACGTCGGTAAGTGACAACTACAGTTACATAATGGATGGGGAGGGCCGATGTGACAGATTATGACTCGTCCCGGAAGCAGCTGGCAGCAGCTGTCATGATTCGGGTGTGGTCTCGGAAATGTCGTCACTGAGTCTGGTTGAATTTTTCACACGCATGCTTGAAAACGTACGTGTACAGCAGGAAAGAAAATGCGGGGTTACCTCTAACTCGAACACCCTTCAATACTGTTATGGATGGCAACAACGCGGAGAGCAGTACAGTAGTTTGGAAGGTTAAGTTTGACTCGAACAGTCACTTGTTCTGGTAACGGACAAGCGAACCCTTCCCGGAGGAATTGTTGGCCGTGGGACGAAGAAGAACTCCTCTACAGCTCTGCACGCATGCAATCCAATATGTAAAATGAGGTGCATGCGCAACGAATGCTGGTTGGTAATAAAGAGGTGTCCGTTCAATTCAAGTACACCCTCGCTAAGCAAACCTGGATGTCTTGAGTCTAAAAGATAGTTCCGTGGCATCCATGCGGCATCACAAGCAGGGCTGTCGAAGTCCCTGGGACCAAAACTTTGAGTCATGAGGTGCTCAAATTCTGGCCCTGGGCCAAAATCAAGGCTTAAAATCCGGGCTTCTAAGGAAAGTCACTTTTCCCTAATGTCCAAAGGAGGATGTGCCTTCTACTTAGCAGAGGGGAGGTGCATACTCAGTGCTCAACAATCTTACAGCCTCTACATCGTAGGCAAAAAATTTGGGAGGGAAGGGGTTCGTAGGCATAGTCATGGAGGGGTGGGGGGGCAGCGGCGGGATGGGGGGTGGGGGGCTGTGCTCAACTCAGAAACCAAAACTTGGATTCAGGGGAAGGCCCGAACAAAGCCCTTAACTGTCACGGGTGCCATGCCGTTCTAGCACTTTAAACGGTCGAGCTGCTCCAAGCGTAACCCGGAATGTTCAGGGCATTAAGGCCAAATGGCCTTGCTTCTCCAGCCCTGATCACAAGACAGGCAGCAACCTCGAAATCCTGCCCATCATGGCGGGCGAGCCTCAGGTGTCATGCGCGCGGGGCCTGTTCCTTCCACATGCATCCCTCCATAGCAAGCGTTTATTATGCTCGCCCATACAGTACGCGCAATCTGCTGCATGACCCTCTTCGTCGACAACAGCACTCAGGGAAAACAACAGGGCCTAGTTTCACGTAAACTATGACTCACTGTAGTGGCACTATGCTGTGTCCCCATGGCCCTTGTTTGTAACCATCTCGACTTTGTAGCAGCGTCCTTTTTCAAGTTGACCTTCGAAGCAGTTTTTACAACGAGCTAGGCCGCCTAAGCGCATTTTGACGCAAATTCTGAGTTCTGTTCTGTCAGATTTTCAAATCGCCGCATCCGCGGCACCCGCAGCAAGCTCGAGCATTGTTGTGGCTGGCATTGGATAGCTAGGACTCACCAGACGACCAGTGGCAATAAGCAGATGCCGCCCGGCGATTCACGCGGTAGCATTATCGGCAGTTTTCAAGGGGGGCAGGGGATGCAAGCACTTTCTGCACAGCAACAAATTTATCAAACAAGATTGAGATCCATAGTAGTAGTTTTGGTGCCGTCGCCGCAGCACTACTAGTACAACAGCTTGTAAGGGCAGATCATGCCGTTGTCATGATGTCTCGCGTGCCAAAACAGGACACTTACGCGTCGTCAGATGCCGCCGCCGGCTCGGCTATAGCGCACGCCGCATTTGGCGGCGGGTTCTGCGGCGTACCTTCTAAAGCTCCCGCGCCGGACAGTGTATCTCCCCCATCTAGCTCAACGGGTCGCCCTGCGTTGTTCACAGCACCCCAGGCTATTCCACATTGGAACGTTGGGAGCATTACTAGTTGTAGTAGTAATAGTACTAACGATACCTCCGTGACTCCTGTAGTACCTTTAACCTCACATAATAGTAGTAATAGCCAGCTCATGGCTGTTGGCGGCTCGTTCGGCGTTGACCAACGGCAGTCAGTGACGCCGCCGCCACTGCCACCAAATTGCGGCGCCGCCGCAGATGGACGACACAGCGGCGTCCCCGTGCCGGCCGCGGCGACTGGATTCACAATGCCTGTTGAAGGTGGTTGGCTAACCATGACCTAGAACGACCTAACGCGATCTACATCGACCTAAGAAGAATTCGGTTTGACGATGTGACCAAGGGAAAGCGAGGACCTAAGAAGAAGAGGAGCTACCTATGTTGGGACGGTGGAAGGAGAAACACGGTAGCGGCGCGACCTGCAGTGGGAATCGAAGAGAAGGAGGGGAAGTGTGCAGAAATGGAGAAGAAAACAGCTGAAATGTCGAGATTCCAAGCGACGTGAAGAGAAGTCACGCCGGGTCAAAGGCGCGTCCAAGGAAGTCTGATTCGAACTCGAGGCGCGTTCGGTGCATGGTTGGATTTGGAAATTGAGCCGAGTACAACTCAGCTCGAAATTAGGCGCGGCGCGAGGGCGAAATCAGAAATCCTTTTGCTTATAACTTGCTTTGTGTTTTCTGTTTTTGTATGCCTTCTTCAATGAAATTACTTGAACTTTCTGCCTTGGCGTTTTCCAGCAAATTCCTTCACACAGTTGGGGCCAGAGCTTCATATGCTTGTTACTAAGACTCTAAATAGTCTTCATAGTCTAGACTAAAGGCTGCGCACGTACAAGAGCTGGTATCAGAGCTGGTTTAAGGCGTGTTCTAGCGTTTTAAGGATAGGCGGAAAGTATGACGGGCGATCATACTGAGGCGAGTTCGGGCTCCTCTGTGAGCATTGGAGGCTCAGAACTACAGGCCATCCTAACAGCGCTAGCACAAGCTAAATTGACGGCGAAGCCAACGATTGGGCTTAGCGAGGCCCAACGATTCCATGGAGAAAATTATAGCACGTGGCGACTCAAGTTCATTCGTAGAGCGGAGGAAGTGGATCTCTGGCCGTATTATCATCCCGACAAGGAAACGGGAGAGGGCGTCCCACCATCTGCAAAAGAAAAACCAGAAGAAAATGCGTCATTCAAAAAAAGGAGTAAGCAAGCTTTTTTCCAATTGTGTCATTCAGTTTCGGATAGCATTGCAGTGGGGCTGGATCAATTTGCTGGAGAGGAGAACTCTGCCGAACGAGCCTGGTAGTACATGGAAGCTGCTTACCTTGGACTTACGGATACCAACAAAGCCGCCATTCGGAAGAAACTTCTCCTATTGAATATGGAGCCGAGGGAGAGGGTCATTGACTACATAAATCGAGCAAAGGGGTACAATGACGACCTCAAGGCTATGGGGACAGCTGAAACTGAAGGAGAAATGATGGGGTACATCATTAGTGGGCTGCCCAAGGAGTGGGAAGAAGAGATAGGGCTCCTAACCTGCAACCCACCCGCAAATATGACCAAGCTGTTGGAGACGCTCCAAGCTCTGGAGCGGGTGAAAGCTGATCGGCTCAGGAAGGAGGTTAGCTTGAATGGAATGGGACCAGCCACACATGCTATGGTAAACGCAGCAGCAACAGCCACATATGCTGCCCGACGATGGGTACTGCTGGCTGAAATACGGGGAAAAGCGACTTGCGCGCAGCGGAAACTCTAAGATTAGGTAGGTGAGAAGTACTAGGGATGACATTGAGGACGGCACACATGTAGAATGGACGATCCGGTGGTTGGAGAAGCGCAATGTCTCCTTTTGAGGGTATAAAAACAAATCTCGCCGAAATAAGAAGATTAGGTGGGTGGAAGGCGGACACTTGCAGGCGGTGTGCGGATGAAGGCGGGAGTTGGGAAGCTGTGAGTTGGGAGGCGGGAGTTGGGAGTTGTGGATCTGGGAGGCTGGGATGGGGAGAGGAGGGAGGAAAAGGGGAAAGTTGAGGGGGAGGGGAATGAACGAGAAAGAATGGGTCGGAGAGGGGCGGGAGGGAGAATGTCTGTCCTTTCCTCTTGATATGTCGCTGGATGTGTCTCCTCCTTTATGCCACCCTCCCTCACCCCTTACCGCCCCCTTTCGCTCGCATTCCCCCCCATTCCCCCCCTGCTACCTTCCCCAGGTCATACTTCAAGTGCGCTAGCTCGATGCTTCAAACGACGTCAGCGGAAACTTTGGGACCAGCAGCAGCAGCAGGAGGAGCAGCAGGAGCAGGAGAAGCAGGAGGAGCAAAAGGAGCAGGAGGAGGAGGAGCAGCAGAAGCAGCAGCAGTGCCCTCGGGTGCATTAGCGACGGGATCTGCACCGGCCGAGTCAGGGCCAGCTGGATCCGGCTCAGGTGCACCTGGGTCAAGCCCATCTGAGACCGGGCCATTTAGATCCGGGCCGCCTGGATCTGGGCCACTTGGATCCGCCGGGCCACCTGGAGTCGGGCCATCTGCATCCGGGCCATCTGGGTCAGGTATATCTGCAGCAATGGAGTCGACACCGGACCACGACAGGGCGGTTACCCCACCACCGCCATCCGAAACTCTTTCCGCTGGCGCGAGAAGCACCCCCAGCAGCAGCACTCCCAGTAAATGCACTCCCTGCAAAAGCACTCCCAGCAGCGGCGGCACTCCCATCAGCGGCAACAGGAATAAGACCAGCGCAAGCGGCGCAAGCGGACCGCCCATGACCCGGCCCGCCTTGACTAAGAGCAGCAGTGGCGGCGGGATCGGAGAGAAGAGCGCGAGCGGTGGCGGTGGCGGCGGAAGTGGCTGCACTGGCGGAAGCGGCGGCGGCGGGACGTGCCATTTTGAGCCATGTCCGGCAAAGAAGCAGGTAGACTGGCAGTTCAGCCTAGACGGCAGTGCGAGTGCGGGCCCCGTTTCCTTTGAAGTGACGTACCTTCACGAGCATAACCATCCCATTGTGGCCTCGCCTCTCTCCCCGTCCGCCCCCATCCGAACCCCACTGCCTGGGGATTTCGGATTGGGTCCTGGAGTGAATCGGTCAGTCCGAAACGGAAACCTGTTCGGGCAGGGGAATGTGGTGGAAGGAGTAGGAGCAAGCGTGTCAGGAGGAGCGGCAAGTGGGGTGGCAGGGGGAGCGGCAAGCGGCGTGGCAGAAGGAGGGGGGATGGCAGCATTTGCGAGCGCAGGAGCGGCGGCAGCATTTCCCAGCCCAGGAGGGGCGCCAGCGCCAGCTTTTCCCAGCCCAGGTGGGCCGGCGGCATTTGCCAGCCCAGGAGAGGCGGCAGCATTTGCCAGCCCAGGAGGGGCGGCAGTCCCTTGGAGTGCATCTGGGGCCCCAGACGTCGCGCCAAAAGCACGGGGTGCTGGTCCCGGAGGGAAAATGCTGGGAGGGGGGTCGACAGTGGCGGTTACTATGACTCAAGGCGCAGTATTGCTGAGGCCAGGAGTGAGCTTGAATGCAGCAGGAGCAGTAATCATGGGGCCTGGAGCAGCAGCGGCGACTGCAGCAGCAGCAACATTGACAGCAGCAGCGCTGGGAGCAGCAGCGTCGGCTACAGCAGCAAGTAGTGTAGAGGCGAGAGGGCAAATGGGGGTGGTGAAAGTAGAGGAAGGAGTGTGGAGGAATGCGGGCGAATCACAATGGCAGGCACAACAAGTGTCGCAAATTTCTCAACAACAACTGCAGCATCAGCATCGGCCAACTTTGCCGTACCAGCAGCAACAACAGGGGCAACAACAGGAGCAGAAGTAGCAACAACAGCAGCAGCAGCCGTGGCAGCAGCAGCAACAGCAGCAGCAGTGGCAGCGACAGCCGCAAGCTCCACATATGCAGCAGCAACCGCAGCAGCAACAACAGCAACAACAACATCAGCAGCAGCCATGGCAGCATCAACAGCAGCAGCAGCAGCAGCAGCAGCAGCAGCAGCAGCCACAACAGCAAGAGCAGCAGCCGTGGCAGCGGCAACCCAACGCACCAGTTGTGCATCATCAACAGCATCAGCAGTACTCAGTGCTCGCACAGCCGCAGCAGCACAATCAGCAGAACCAAATGCGCACTGAACAACAGCAGCAGCCACACCAGCAGCAACAGCAGCCACACCAGCAGCAACAGTCGCAGCCGCATCAGCAGCAACAGCAGCAGCCACACCAGCAGCAACAGTCGCAGCCGCATCAGCAGCAACAGCCGCAGCCGCACCAGCAGCAACAGCTACACGTGCAGCCGCCGCCGCAACACATGCAGCATCCGCTTCAGGTGCATGCTCAGGAGAAAATGCAGCCGCCAATCTTTGGAAGCCACCAGCAGGAACTACCGTTCCAGCAGAATCAAGCTCAGGAGTATTCTCAGGTGTACTCGCAACAAGGGAAGCACCGAGACCAACTTGGGCTGCAGCAGTCGGATCAACAGCACCAACAGCACCAGCAGCATCAACAGCATCAGAATCAGCAATGTGGTGAACCGATGCCAGCAACGTACAACCAATCTCAAATGCATCGGCAGCAACTGCAGCAGCAACAGCCACAGCAACAACCACAGCTGCAAATGCAGCGGCAAGCGCAGCTGCAACCACAGCAGCAGCTACACCAGGACGTGCAGAAGAACATTCAGAGCGAGCAGGGTGCATGCCTGTCGCGTCAGTATCAAGAACTGAAGGTGTCGCAAGAGCCATGGCAGCAGCAGCAATGGCCCTGCCTGCAACAGCAGCAGCAGCAGCAGCAGCAGCAACAGCAACAGCCGTGGGAGCAGCAGCAGCAACCACCACAGATGCAGCCGCAAACGCCACAAATGCAGCAGCAGCAACAACAGCACCCGTCAGAGCACCAACAACAACAGCAGTATCATCACCATCTCCAGCCGCAGCAACAGCATCAGTCTCATGATCAGATTCAGCAGCAGCAGCAGCAGCAGCAGCAGCAGCAGCAGCAAGACGAAAACCAAAGAGTGGCGAAACGTCCGTTTCTTGACCACACAACTAGAATCCATCCCTTGCACCTCCCAACTCTGCCCCACACTCGCCCCATCAACCATCCACAGGTGCCCTTTCAACCACTCCACAGACCACCCAACACCCCTGTACACTACTCCGCAGGCTCAAATCACCCTTCGCCCTTGCGCCTTTCCATTCCGCCTCTCATGCGCCCCACCACGTCTCTGCAATGCGTCAGTCAGTCCCCACCTGCTGCGTTGTCCGGGTCGCACTCGTGGCCTCCCCCAGATGCGCCCTCCGTGCGACGACACACATTGGAACGTAACTCGTCAACCCAAACCTGTGGTGCATTTCCTCCGAGCCAAAGCAGGTTCTCATTTGATGCGAGTCAAGGAGGGAGTGTGGATGGAGGTCCGGGTCAGGATGGGTTGGTGCTGGGAGGCGGGAATGTGATGGGTGGTGTGGAGGTTTCGTTCGAGTCGACTCAAAAGTCACCTCAAAGCAGGTTCTCGTTTGACCAAAGTCGAGGAGGGAATGTGGATGGGGGTCCGGGTCAGGATGGGTTGGTGCAGGGAGGAGGGGATATGACGGGTGGCGTGGAGGGAATGGATGGGGTGCGGGAAGAGCAAGCTCTAAATGAGCGGCTTCACCACCAGCAGGATCAGCAGCAACAGCAGCAGCAGCACAGGCAGGCACAACATGAGCAGCAGCACAGGCAGGCACAACATGAGCAGCAGCACAGGCAGGCACAACATGAGCAGCAGCACAGGCAGGCACAACATGAGCAGCAGCACAGGCAGGCACAACATGAGCAGCAGCACAGGCAGGCACAACATGAGCAGCAGCACAGGCAGGCACAACATGAGCAGCAGCACAGGCAGGCACAACATGAGCAGCAGGGATTGGAGCAGATGCAGAGTCTGATTCAGCACGCATTCCCTCAGGGCCAGCAGCAGCAGCTCTATGCCACTGCTCCCAACAACTGTCTTCAGAGTAACAACCATGAGTCAATTCATAGCCGGCAGCACCAGCAGCACCACGAAGAACATTGCCACCAGCAACAGCAATACCAGCAGCACCAACAGCAGCAGCAGCAGCAGCACCAACAGCTGCAGCAGCAGCAGCAGCACCAGCACCATCAGCAGCAGCAGGAGCAACAACAACAACAGCACCAGCAGCACCAACAGCCGGAGCAGCAAGAGCCGCATCTGGAAAACTAACAACACTCTTCTGCACACTTCGTGCACATGCCAGCACGTGAGCCACCACCACCACCCTCCTGCAGGTTCATCTCCTGTTGAGTCGACTGAAAATTCGTTTCAGCACCACGCGTCATGCGCCTCCCTGCCAGCTCCCAGCAGCATACCCCCTGATGCCATGCCGTTGCGGATTTCTGCAAGGCAAGATATGCAGATGGGGGATGTGAGGGATAGTGCAGGTCATCAGGAGCAACGTCATTTAGAGAACAGGCCACAGCCCTTACATCCTATCTCAGTACCGCAGCCCTTACATCCTATCTCAGTACCGCAGCCCTTACATCCTATCTCAGTACCGCAGCCCTTACATCCTATCTCAGTACCGCAGCCCTTACATCCTATCTCAGTACCGCAGCCCTTACATCCTATCTCAGTACCGCAGCCCTTACATCCTATCTCAGTACCGCAGCCCTTACATCCTATCTCATTACCACAGCCCTTACATCCTATCTCAGTACCGCAGCCCTTACATCCTATCTCAGTTCCGCAGCCCTTTCAGTCTGGCATGCAGCAATTTCAATGCGTGAATCAGCAGCTGATGCACCACATTCCTGAGCCCTTGCATGGCGTTTCACCAAATCCTGGAGACCAATCACAGCAAGTACCATCAGGTTCCTTCCCGTCATATCATGTGCCATCAGGTGATGTGGCTTCATTAGCCACATCATCAGGAGTCATGCCAACACAAGTCATGCCATTAGGAGCCATGCCATCGGAAGCCACGTGGTCAGGAGTCATGGCATCAAGAGGCCTTTCTCCTCACGCCATTCAAGGTCCATCAGGTTTCCCTGCTGGAGCCATGCCATCAGATGCCATGATGATGTGCGCATCAAGCAACAATTCAGCAGGTTATGCTCAGGGACATACAGAGGAGGGGCAGCAAATAATAGCGCAGCAGCAATCAGAACAACAGGGACAGCCTCAGCACGAGTATTCAAATCAGCAACAGCAGGAGGAGCAACCCGGGTATCAGCAAGCGCCATTAACACAGCAGCAGCAGCAGCAGCAGCAGCAGCAGCAGCAGCAGCAGCAGCAGCAGCAGCAACAGCAGCAGCAGCAGCAGCAGCAGGGGGGGTGGTTTCAGCAGCACCAGATTGAGCAGACGCTGGAAACCAGTGCAACCTTTCCCCATGGCGGAGATCAGGGCCCAAAATCGCTTCCAGAGCTACGGTACACGGAACAGCAGCAGCAGGAGTGGTCTCAGGAACAGCAGCAGCAGCACCAGCACCAGCAGCAGGAAACCCCGATTTCTGGGGCACAGCAACAGCATGGTCTTGAGGAGGCTTGGAGGTTACTAGAAGAGCAGCAACTAACACTTAACCCATCGCCTACCAGCCACTCACATCCCATAGAGCCCAACCAGCAACTCTTGGAATCTCAGCAGCATCTGCCTGAAGATCAGGCGCATTGTACAGAAGAGGTGCAGCTAGATCAGGGCCGTTGTATGGATGGCATTCCAACACCTATTCGGACGTTCAAGCAGGATATAGATGGGATTACGGACAGTCCCACGTTTTACCCATCGTTTTCGTTGGGTGAAGGGGAGTCCTGACCTCTTGTAGGAACAAACTCCTGCTTAGAGACTCTGGACAAGCAGGTCCTCAGGTCAATTGTGCTCTACTACCACTGGATCCATTCCTAGATGCTTGTTGCGTGTAAGCTTGATACATGGTAGTAAATGTGTTGCTTCATCCAAAAGACCATCCCATTGTTTTGCCATGAACAACCATGGTCCATAAAAGCTTGCTTCAGTCCCAACTTTTGAGAGAGCGCTTGTCGGTTCCGTTTAACCGAGCTGCCGACTAGGAAGGATTTTGTTGGGCTGAGAAAAGCCCTTAGGATCGTTTTCAAGACTAAGGCTCAGAATAGTGATGTATTAGCGGAAGCGTCTTAGTGAACTAGCTGAACCACCTTGCACTGGCATGTGAGAACAATATAACTTGATTATATCAAAGAGATACAAGGCTTTATATGATTACAACGAATATGAAAGGTTTAATTGTAACTGCTGTTGCGGTTCGATACAGCGATGACTCGGGTAATTGCTCAATAGCGTGTCAGTTATGTGTCTTTGCTGTCGCGCTGCTTTTTGGCGAGTCAAAGGTCGTTGACCTTTTGTCAGAATCCCAGTCACTAGACCATTGGGATAGAAGGGCTTGTTTGTGTAGCGGGTTTGTGCGCCCATAACCCCCCAGGCGAACGCGCCTGTAACCCCCCGTAGGATCAATCGGGCATCCACAGTGCAGATCTACTGACACCCCCCCACACACTGGGAGGCCCAGGACTGAGCACAGCGGCAACGGCCTACATGTGCAAAACCCCGGAATTGAACCCGATACCGCTCTGATACCATGTCAGAATCCCTGTCACTAGACCACTGGGATAAATGGCTTGTTAAGTAGCGGGTCAGAGTGCGCCTATAACCCCCCAGGCGAACGCGCCTGTAACCCCCCTAGGATCAATCGGGCATCCACAGTGCAGATCTACTGACACCTTTGACCTTCACTTAACCTCTTCCTGTTGTCTTTCTATCAACCGCTTTGGTTGACTCGCTGTTACTTCGTTGTAGTTTGTTTCGCTTACGTTGTAGTGTTCGACACATCGGAAGCGTGAACTATATGTTTCCAACACTCCCCTTCGCTTCTGGAGTGTCATCGCCTTCGTTGCTGGTGACGTGGCCTTGTCCAGTCAGCAGCATGCACTACTCGGACGTGGGGCAATAGGATAGCTCGAGTCTCCGTTTCTCGATCTCGTCCTTCACGAACAAATAGCGCAGGGCAGTGTGCTTCGTTCGGTTCGCGAACCCGCTCTTGTTCGCTATGCGAATTGCAGATTGGTTGTCGCAGAAAAGGGAGAAGCTGGGTAACTGGGCCAGCTTTGCTTCTTCCAGTAGTTCGCGAAGGAATAGTCCTTCCTTGGTGGCTGAGCAGAGTGCAATGTATCCTACTTCAGCAGAGGAGAGAGCAATTAGTTCTTGCTTGCTCAACTGCCACGAGATAGGACCGACGGGCTCAAGTCGATAGATGTAGTCGGTGCGCGATCGCCTGTTGTCAGAGTCGCCTGCGTGGTCAGCATCCACGTAGCCGATTAATTTTGGAGTTGTGGTTCCAGTCTTGTGGTAGGTTAGGCCAATCGTTGGTGTGCTGACGAGGTAGTGTAACGCGCGGTCGAGTTCCGCCATGTGCTCTGCTTCGGGGCGTTTGAGATAGGTAGCAAGCTGGCTTGCTGAGTACGACATGTCCGGTCGGCAGGTAACGGCTGCGAAGAGTAAGCATCCAAGTTTCCGCTGGTAGTCGCGTAGTCCGGCAGGTCCGAGCGGATTAGTCTTTTCCTGGTGATTTTCGGCGGTGTCTTGATAGGGCGTGGATATGGCCGCTGACGATAATCCAAAGCGATTGGCGATTGTGTAGGCGTATTTTGCGGCGCTGAGGTATATCGCGTTCTCTCCGTCGAGTATGTTGAGTCCCAGATACTGGGTTACGGTGGAAGATATCGTGAGTGAGAGATCTTGTTGCAGCTCCCCTTCAAACCAGGTGGTGATGTCGTCGGTAGAGCCTATTGTTAAGAAACCAAAGGAAGTTAGAAATGAGAAAGAGAGGGGTTTCACTAGCAAGCAGTTGAGTACATATAGCAAACCCTAAATTGGGCTGTACTCACTATTGAGTACCCCACTGCAGGCTAGACAAAACATAACATTCTGACACACCCCCATAGCCAAAGTGGGGTGTAATCAGCACAACAAGCAAAGCAAAACAAGCTCAGGGTGGATCACAAAGTCACCACACATTCTGAGCACAAGTACAAGAAGTAGCAGTTTATAGTTCACAAATATAAGCAAAGCTAGAGGCAGTCACAGATGGTAAGTGAGGAGGAGGAGGGACTGTGAGAGGAGAAGAGATAGGAGATGACAGGTGAAGCTGCAGACACACGGGCAACAGGAGCGGCGCGCACTGTGGCTACCGGAGATTGTAGCCTCCGGACTACTGGAGTAACTGGCTCCGCGACTAACTCTGAGCTGCAGGAGCAACGGACCCACGGGCGACTGGTGCAGCAGGCTCGCTGGGCTACCGGAGATTGTAGCCTCCGGACTACCGGCGCTGCTGGCGACACGACAGCTGCCTCCGCCCAACATCCTCTAACTGTCTCACCCCCCTTTCACACACCCCCTGCTGCACCTCTAGCACTACTCATACTCCACCCCCTAGCACCACTCCATCGGCTCCCACACACCCACCCCCCTCAGCGGTAGCTGCAGCAGTGGGAGACGGAGGAGGAGGAGGAGCAGGTGATGCCACACACCCGCCACCCCCACTCGCCACCCCCAAACCCTAACACAGGGTAGGGCCGTAGAAGGCGGGTAGGGAGGGTACGGGGGGGGGGGGGGGGGGAGGGGGCAGGGCCGCGACGAAGACAGGAGGGGCCGACGCGTGGCCCCCCGCAGTCGCCCCTCCCGTCGCCTGTCGAGGCGACCCTGGGGGGGGCAGCGCGCCGGGGCAGAGCCGAGGCAGGACCGGTACAGGGCCGGGGCAGGGTCGGGGCCGGGCTGCGACAGTCCTGGAGCAGGGCCGGGGCAGAGTCGGGGCCGGGGCAGGTCCGGGACGGGGCCGCAACAGGCCCCCCAGGTCGCCGCGACAGGCGACGAAACCCGCCGCGCGTCTCGGGGCGCACGACGGGCTGTGCACCGTCGCGCGCCACGGGGCGCACGACGGGCTTTGCACCGTCGCGCACGACGGGGCGCACGACGGGCAGGGCTCCGTCGCGCGCCAGCGGGGCGCACGACAGGCAAGTAGGCAGAGCGCGCGGCGGGAAGAAAAATTGCCGCGCGCCACGGGCGCGCGGCAAGTAGGCAGTGCGCGCCTCAGGCGCGCGATGGACAGAGTAGAAGCAGCGGAAGCATTGGGTGGGCCCATCCACAGGATCGACCCGTGAGGGTCGACCTGCTCTGATTCCATGTTAAGAAACCAAAGGAAGTTAGAAATGAGAAAGAGAGGGGTTTCACTAGCAAGCAGTGGAGTACATATAGCAAACCCTAAATTGGGTTGTACTCACTATTGAGTACCCCACTGCAGGCTAGACAAAACATAACATTCTGACACCTATGTAGAGCAGGTCGTCTATGTACATGATCAGCAGGATGTGTTCTGCTTCCTTCGTGAGTCTATATATTCCCTAGTCATGTGGTAGTTGTTGAAAGCCGATATGAATTAGTCGGGCGTGTAGGTACTGCTGCCACAGTCGCGGAGCTTGCTTGATGCCTTACAGAGACTTCAGTCACTGACATACTTGATTAGGACCTGTGACGGAACCGTGCGGTTGTTCGACGAAAATTTCTGCGTCGACGGGAGCATGAAGGAAGGCGTGGGCCACGTCGATTTGGCGGCGTTTCTTTCGCTTCATGGCGGCTATCGCGAGAAGGATTCGCAAAGAAGTATGTCGGCTGACTGGCGCAAAAGTCTCGGTGAAGTCTCGTCCGTGCTCTTGGTCGAAGCCACGTACGACCCATCGTGCTTTGAATTTTTCAATTGTCCCGTCAGCTTTCGTTTTCACGCGAAAGACCAATTTTCCCGTGAGAATGGTTTTGTTGCGTGCCACTCCGATGGGTACTGTCTTCCAGGTGTTTCTGTCTTCCAGCGCTTATAACTCCCTGTCCATGGCTTCGCGCCATTTTTCCCTGTGCTCCCCCTCCAGAGCTTGCTGAACTGTAGGAGGCTCTTATGGCATTGGTGCGCGATGGGCTGCAGTGACGAGCCCAAGAATCTGCAGCCCACTCTGTGTGTAGCGAGGGAGATTTGGGTCCTTGGGATAAAATGCTTTGTCTCCCGCTTCTGGATCAGGTAAGAAGTTGGGGCCTATGCGTTCTGAAACGTTCGTGTTGACCGGCTGGGGTGTAACGTAACCATTATCGGCGAAGTCGTAGTAGACTTCGGCGTTGATGATTTCGCGAGGGTTTTCGTCGTCCATCGGAACGGGTACCGAACAGTAGGGAAGAGGTCCGGCTTCCTCCGATGCTCCGTCCACGTTTTGTTCATCCCAGTCAGCCTCATCTACTGACGAGGCGAAGGCTCGATTGCCACGGAAGCCGCCCGTGAGGTCTCGTTCTGCTGCCAAGTTGTTCAGGTACGTTTGGAGAGTGAGTCGTTCGTAGAAAATCACGTCACGTGCTGCTACTGTTGTCAGAATGTTATGTTTTGTCTAGCCTGCAGTGGGGTACTCAATAGTGAGTACAGCCCAATTTAGGGTTTGCTATATGTACTCACTGCTTGCTAGTGAAACCCCTCTCTCTTTCTCATTTCTAACTTTCAACTGTTCCTCAACATGGAATCAGAGCAGGTCGACCCTCTCGGGTCGATCCTGTGTATGGGCCCCCACCAATGCTTCCGCTGCTGC